AAAGGTTTTGATGAATAATCCAATTCAAACTGTGCCATTACTGCGAAAATTCGTGTGTGCTCGCACGTGCGTGTAAACTTTGCTCCTGAAAAATCATTTGGAACGGACGCCTGTAGACGATAACAAAGTGGGAAGATTCTGCATAATCGGAACCGGTATAGATTGACTCTGAACCCGCCTCCTGGGTAAGCGGTACTAATTACCTGGGGCTTTTATTGGACGCTAATCTTCAATGGACCTATCACATTCAACATATTGTAAGTAATCTTCGACGATTTTCTCTTCATATCCGTAAACTCCATCAGTTTCGTATTCAACAAGCGATCATTTCCAAATTCGTGTATCAGCGTATTTTCCTCTTTTTACTTTATTTTTCACCTGTCTTTGTCCATTCTCCTAAAGAAAGACTGTGAATTGCTTCGATGTGGACTGAATATCAATAGCCGCATCTCTTCAGTGTGGCTGGAAGAGTTGGTAACTAACCTATGCAACTGCCATTTGAATGAATGTGAAAAGTTCTTACATCAGATTCTTATGGACCCCACATATCCTCTGCACGCAGATTCAACTTCCTGTTGCTCTCATCCGTTAACTAGATCCCTCTCCGATACTCTCTTTACCACGTATTCTAGTTGACAAAGAACCAGTTTTCAGAGATTTTGTTAAGTTTTGGGACTTAACTCTTTCTCCTCCCTCTCTGTAATTTGTACACTTTTGACTGAAACATAGGCCTCACACCTACAGATGCCACAATTAAAATACACTACAACACAGCTGTTATAACTGTCCGCCCCTGGTTAAGAAGAACCCAAGTCACTGAACTGGAATGGGCTGACTGCACTGGTGTCAAAACGATTTACGGGGGCAACATTTGAAATGCAGATCAGTGAACACATCGGGTTTGTCAGTGATGGTAAAATCGATGTCAGATCGACCAGCCACGTGACATTTGTTGCGAGTGGACTGCGGCAGAATTTGAATTCTCACTAGCCTCCCTCCCTTTAAAGATCAAGTAGCACACATCACTGGTGACTCATATGATTGATCCTTGGGGTTGATGATCAGTCGGTGTATTGGAGCTCGAGCTCGGGTTGAGTGTGTTGCCTGTCCGGTTGAGTAGGTACTTCGACGTCGGTGCTGAAATCTGCGGGGCCTGTGTTCGTAATCCGGTAGTCTGTCAGTAAATCCATGGATATGCAATCAGAGGAACGTTTCATCTTGAGTCTTGTCGCCCGGTTATGGGTTTGAGACGATTGATATGTCCAGCACAACAATACAATACAATTCAATAATATAGCGATCTAATTGCCCTGGCTAGAAGAAGATACATGATGGGAATGAAGGATTTGGTTTGTTCAAATGATAAATTTCATCGTGTAAGGAGCAAATAAAATGTGATGACGGCACGAAACGTCAAAATCCACTTCATGAATAGGAGAAGAATTTAGTTATTTCACAACAGAGTGATTTAGTTTATTGATTTATCAGCCGAAAGCCTCAGTATGGTCGGGGGTGGGTGTCTAGGGTTGCGGCTGGCCACCCTTCCTTTGCACCTCGCAAAATGCCCCCATACGACCAAGTATCTCAAATAGCCTCTGCTGAGGAAGCCCTACTTACTACCTTCTCGTGGCGGAGGTGTCTTCCCAATCCAAAGTGAGAGGACGAAAAGCCGACATCCTGGGCTATAACCGGGTCGGTGGACCACTGGTAGTTCACCTAGGGAGTTGGCCAAAAACTCTGATTCCAAACCAACCAAGAAGAGGCGTACGAACCACACACCTTTCCGGATGTGGCAGTGGTCACCGGCTCGATTGGGCATCAAGGTGTATTGGGCACCTTGGACGTTTGACCCCATCCAAAGGGCGTATGATCCGATGAACTGGACACCGGCTCCCAATGGACTGCGATTTTCACACACCGCCCCACTGTCTTTCGGGTCAGATTTTGGCTAGCCAAAGGCTCCGGTTGTTTATTCCTCAAGAAAATTCACCTGCCTTGGCCTGGGCAACCTGGCAGTATTCAACCCACATTCAAATCATGGAACGTCTTTCTTTTTTATAAAGATTATTTTACCATGATTTGCTTGGCACACAGTCTGTCGTCGGACGTGTGTGCAATATATATTGATCAGCACTGTCGATGTTGTGAAGGCAAAACGAGAACTATTTGTGAAAACTTTGAATGAAAACAGTGAGAACCGCATTTTGACTAAACGAACTTTGTTTTTGTTTTGTTATTTTCCACTGATCTTAGATTCGATTCCTGGTTGTCAGACGAATGATCCCAGCACCATCTCCACCGAACCAAACACATCTGTGCTGCCGCGTCGGCAAACGAAATCCATCTGTTCCACCATATCGTCAACTCCTGGGCGAAATCGCAGTGCGCGAATCCCATTCACCACCGAGCAGGCACGTGTTTTGGAAGAGAAATTCACGCAGTCCCACTATCTGAGCGGATACGAAGTAACCAAATTGGCTAAGCGGTTGCAGCTTTCTGAGACACGGGTGAGTTCAGATGGCTTGTCGTTTGGAGAATCTAATTTGCAACAATCAACTTGACGAATGTTTTTACGATGGTTAATTACTAGTGAGGAACAGTGGAAAAGACGAGTAAAGCTAAGAATTCTTTTAGATCATTCATTTTTAAGTTTCTACATTAATATACATTCACAAGGTAGCAAAGAAAGTCATGATTCATAAAATAAGCCGGGGTGGAAGGAGGAGAGAGGGTTATAAAGTTGTTATATATGTATACTCATCCTATCCGGTTATCGCTCAGAGACTTGATGATCGACTGCCACTGTAAACTATTTCTATGTGTGTCTATCAATTCACATGCTACTGTGGAGCCGGCTACATCGGTCGTACCAATCGGCAGCTGATCAAAATAATTCAAGAGCATCATCCGGCCCGGTTGACAGAAGGTCATTCGTATCTCAATTGTGGAGCAACCGATCAACATGGGGCATACGGTAGATATCGAAAGTTCATTTAAGGTAATATACAATGAATTTGCCCAAACAACTGAAACAAATTATGCTTCGCATGGCCGAGGTGTTAGCCATTCGGATCTACCACCCCGAATTATGCAAAAAAAGCGGATTGTTCACATATTGACTATGCCATGGCTCGACAATGTTATGTAATTGACCATTGTTTAGAAAATCAAACGATGACTGAGTGATCGTGTTACATAATCAGTTTAATCAAGTGATAACAACTCTGTGAACCCCTCCTCTCAACCCGGTTTATTTTACGATTCATGAAGTCTGTTGCTACTTTATGTTTGTATAGTGATGTAGAAGGTTGAAAATGAATAATCGAGAGGGTAGCATACTTGCCTTCTGCCCATGAGGTCTCGGGTTCGATCTCCAGTTGGGTCGATGGATTTGCACTGATGATGAGACCCAACCAGGTTGAACACAGCTGTCCAGTGCATCCTAGCTTTTCAGCGCACGCTTCATTTGACATATACACGACGAATTTCCCCTCGGCAAATTCTTCTCCCCATTGGTGTTTTTAATGAAAAATGGGGATATTTCAAGGAACAGTGTAAAGCCGGATTTGGTGAAGGAAGGTAGCACAGCATCGCAGCGATTGTTTGAAGGATATGCCCTAT